AACTGCAATTCTCAGGTCTCAGCCTCCTGAGTGGCTAGGATGACAGACGCGTACCACTGGCACCCGGCTAAGTCTTGTAAACATTTTAAGACAAGATTAGGCTGGTTATTGCTTTCTTAAAAGTGAAAAAAAATTAACAGTTTGTTAGGATGATTTTCTTTAAGACTTTATTGTAACAGGTCAAAAAGACCCTCATTAAAAAGTGGAATCCTACAGTTGCCATCTGTGATGCCTACCCTCCCCTCAACATTACCTGGCCTGGGACCCTTTTACTAAGTTAACCTAAGCTACACTGGCCTTTTTCCCCCCAAGTCCCGGACTTCTTCCACAGCTTTTCTTTAGTCTTGTAGATTCTTGATCAGCTTTCTTGCTCACAGTTGGCCTTCTACCATTTGACCACATCTCTAGTCCAGCATTTTGCTGGTAAATTGGAGATAGAACCTCTCAGACTTTTCTTTCAGGGCTGGTTTTTGAATCTCAATTCCACGCCTGCCTCCTAGATGATGATGATGATGATGATGATGATGATGATGTTTGTTAGTCCTGGGGCATGAACTCAGGACCTGAGCATTGACTAGTGCTCTACCATTTGAGCCAGAGTTCTACTTCTGACTTTTTGGTGGTTGATTGGAGATAAGAGTCCCATGGACTTTACTGCCTGGGCTGGCTTCAAACTGTGTTCCTCAGATATCAGCCTCCTGAGTTAGCCAGGATTCTAGGCACCCAATGGAATTTATTATTATTATTTTTGGGGGAGGGTCCGGTCATGGGGCCTGAACTCTGGGCCTGGGCGCTGTTCCTCAGCTCTTCAGCTCAAGGCTAGCGCTCTACCACTTGAGCCACAGCGCCACTTCCGGCTTTTTTCTTTTTTCTTATGTGGTGCTGAGGAATCGAACCCAGGGCCTCATGCATGCAAGGCAAGCGCTCTACCACTGAGCCACCTTCCCAGACCTGGAATTGATTATTTTTAAAGCAAATATCAGACATCTTGTCATTTGATCTAACAGTGTTTTCAGGGTGTATTTTATAATGCTATTGATAATACCATTATTATTATAGTTACAATACCATTATCAGACCGGGAACCTCAGTTTATGTAATTATTTACTGTTATCAGCCATTCAGTCAGTAGTCACATTCCTAAATAGTTTGTCTGACCAAGGCCTGTAGGTACAGATTGATGTTTTTGAACTCACTTTCAGTCTATAGGTCTAATTTGTCTTTCTTGCTGTCATTTATGAAACTGCAGTTTCCCCTCTGCTGGGTCTTTCTGGTTTTGTCTTGTAATACATCCTGTGATTAAGTCTGTGATGGTCTTCTGTCCTTTATTTCTTGTACAGTGTTAGTTCTAGAGGTCTGGACACATTCTTTTTCTTGAGAATAGCAGGTTTATATGGAGACACTTTTCATTTCAACCTATGCATGACAAAAGATATTATACTTCCTAATATAAATAGGCCCCTTTTATTTCAGATGTGTCAGGCTTGAATGCATTTTAAAAAAATAAAAACAAAAACCTAGGGACTTCAGGACTTTAGTCTACCACTGGAGCCAGGCCTCCAGCCCTTTTTGCATTAGATGTTTCTCAGATTGGGTCTCATAGTTTTTCCCAGAGTGAGTCTCAGACTGTAATCCTCCTACTTATGCTTCTGGTATAGATAGGATTATAGGCATGAATAGCACCCCAGCTTGATGGTTGAGAGAGGGACTCATGAACTTTTTGCCTGGGCTAGCCTCAAATTGTGATCCCACAGATTTCTGATCCTCCTGATTTCTGAAATCTCTGTCTCCTTAATCCCTAGCAGGGATTATAGGTGTGGCTCACACCTGTTTTGCTTTTAAATTTCTACTTGACTCCTTCATAGGTAGTGGTACACAGAACCATGAAGGCCTAGTCATCTTCCTGTGACTTGAGCAGCCACTGAGGATAACTGCTTGCACTGACTGAGTAGCGCTTGCACAATGGCTAGATTCTACCTCGGTATTTCTTCTTTTATTGGTTATGATACAAAGAGAAGCTTAATTCAGCTCTTTGGCTATCCCATGTCATAGTTGACATAGGAAAAGCAGAATAAATGCATGAAGTTTATTTCTTTGTTAATTTTAAAATAAGTGTTTGGGTTTTTTTTTTTTTTGGTGCCACTGAATCATGCCTGTAGTACTCAGGAAGTTGAGATCTGGGAATCAGGGTTTAAAGCCAGGCTGGGCAGGGGAGTTAACCAGCAAAAAGCTGCCTAGAGGTATGATTCAAATGGTAGAGGGCCATTTATGAGCAAAAAAGATAGCAGGAGCACTAGGCTGTGAATTCAAGCCCTCATACAGTGACACCACACACACACACACAAATGAAATAACTTTCCTGTTTAGGTCTAGGAGCAGGCATACTGGTCACCAGCCTTGCTGTCTCCCGCTCTGGCACACACCCCTGCAGGCCAGTGCTGAGCCCTCCTTTGCACTGCTCTGGTTTTGCACACATCGTCTGGGGACTGCCCTGTAGAAGGTGGAAACAAGTGTTGTTCAGGGACTGAGCCCTGCAATGTGGCCTACTTGTCAGCCAGCACTTTGCAAGTATCCTCAGAGTTTTGATGGAGGAAGTGAAGGCGTGGCATGTGGGAGGGCGTTGGGTCCAGGAGGATGGGAAGGAGCAGCCTCTGCTCACTCTCGTGCAGACACTGGGCTGCTCCTATGCCAGCAGATACTCATGTGAGAATGCAGACAAGGTGCTGGTAGGGCGGTGAGGCTAATAAGTGTGGGCACAGGTGTGTCGCATTTAATAGTCTAGTCCAGAAGAAGAGTTGATGGGGCAGATTTGGAACGTGGCCCTCGACATGGGTAATAATTTAGTGACTCCCCAATTTCTTACTTAAAAATCAGTTTGAATATAAAAATCGAGAAACTGCACCCCATATTTATTGTTATACCATTCCCAGTAGCCGAGCTGTACAATCAGCTCAAGTGTGCAGCAACCAGACTGGATAAAGAACAAACATATGGGGCCTGTACCCCGTGGAGTACTAGCTAGCAGTGAAGACTGAAGTCATGTCATGTGCAGGAAGTAGACAGCACTGGCAGTCGTCATGCTCAGTGAGACGAACCAGCCTCAGAAAGACAGAAAACATGTGTTTTCTCCTGTGTGCAGAATCTAGAGCGATGATAATAATAATAATAATACTTGATTGTGAAAGGGGACTCTTTGGTACCAGAAACTCGTAGGAGGAGGGAAGAGGGAAGGTTTTATAGTTTGCAAACACAGGTCCTCCGCTCTCTGGTCCAGTTGAAGGGCCCCCGCTCAGAAGAAGTAAGCACAGCTCCAGGGGCTTGCTGAGCATGTTGAGGGAGAGGAAGGCTTGGCCAGCGGAGAGGCGAAGGCAACACAGTGGTAGCTGCCTAGGCACTGGGTCTGAGGATCCTGAGGAAGGGATATTTGAGAAGAACCCAAATGAAGTCAGGGCCCAGGACAGGACAGGGCAGGGCAGGCAGGAGAAGCAGCCTTGAGGGTGTCATGCGGGTGCACAGCAGACCCTTCCATGGCTCTGTCAGCCATAGGTTGGCCTCTTTTATTTCCTTGCCCTGGCTACGTCCTTTGTTAGCCTCTCAGTTCCACTCATCTCTGAAGAGGGGTTGACAGACTGGTGGTGGGCTTGGGGCAATGAACCCACTGTGAATCTCACACTTGGAAAAAGTCCTAGTTAAAGTAGCACGGATGTGTTTTATAATTAGCATTTGGGCCAGGTGGTTTCTATTTAAATATCAAGAAACAAAGTTCTTGTTGAAGCTCCTATAACAGAGTCTGTCATAGGCAGCCGCAGTCCCCATAGCACGGCAGGGCCCTCCTTCCTAGAAACTTCCTAGAAAGGAGTGTTCGTTTTTCCTGATGATATTCTTGGAAGGAAAAGCAGACTTTTCTCATGCTATTGTGGTTAAGTAGCACAAGGTAAAAACCAAAAACAAAAAGCACCCTGAGCTTGGGTTGCCCTGTGTTGGTGTGTGGGTAACGATGGCACAGGAAGGTACTCAGCCCCTCTGCCTGGTCCTCGGACAGACTTCAACTCATCATCTAGCTCGTAGTCAATGCTTATCTGCCTCTCCGGGTGCTTGATTAGTTGTTGTTGTTGGTTTTTTTTTTTTAATGCACCGAATCCAGATAATTTGACTTTCCACTGATAAAAATATTTACTTGTTATAACAGGCAGGGTGCTAAACTTGGAAACTGAGAGTGCAAGTTAAATTTGAAATTTGTGGAGCGTATTCATGCCGCCGTCTCTGTAGTACCTTGGCAGTGCCCGGCTCTTCTCATCTGACGTGCCAGGAGACAGCCTGGCGCAGGCGTAAGCTAAAACCTGCTTGTGTGTACAGAGGAGGCTCGTAGGACACTGAAACAGAAAATTTGGAAGTGTGACTGTGAGCATTTCCTTAAATGACAGCATGACACATTCGCTTTAAATAGAGCTTTATATTCTGTTTGTCGGGGCTATTATAACTATGATAGATGATCGTAAGCCTGAAAGCGGGTTTAAAAATTATTTGTCTCTGAGTGGCGTTGTTGTGTCAGGCGAGCTGTTTGGATATAATGAGCATGCTGTACAGTACGTTTGAGTCACTTCCCCAGGGAGAGGAAGGGGCGTTCATTACTCAGAGGAGAAGCACGTCCTCGCTCTCAGCTGTCAAGTCCTATGGAATCTAAAGAGGCGGGCCCTGCACTGTTAACTGGCCTGTGGGCTGTGGCCAGCTTTATCTGCAGGCAGCAGTGTGTGCTCCAGGTTTTCCAAGGGGGGTCTCTGCAAGGGGTGACTTTGAGAGGCAGCGTGTAAGGAAGAAGGAACAGGAGGAGCCACACTACCTGACGTGGACTGGTCTTGATCAGGGGCTGTGCAGTGAAGAAGAAGATCACTGTCAAACGTGATGAAGGTGGAGAAGGATCCTGAGGAGGAAGAAAACAGAGCTAGAGCGAAGTGGAGCCCTTGAGGCCATCGACCGGTCAGGAGCTTGTCCTCCCGCTTGCTTTGTGAGCGGCAGGGATTTGTAACTTAATGCCGAGTGCTTCTTGCGTAGCTCATCTGTGTCTAGGATGAACTGCTGGTTGTCCTGTGCCCCTAACAACAGAGTAGGTATTGCTGGGGCCAGTGCTACGGGGCCCTGTTACCCAGGGCTTCCGCAAAACTACTTTGCTAATTTTGTAGTATTGTATTCTTTCCTGGTTTGTCTGTGCAATTAGTGATAGAAAACAAATGTCTTGGTTTTCCGGGTTTAAAAAGCCCAGGATAGAATTTTAGTACTGGGCAGTATTTCTGTTAACTGACACTGGACCAGACCTGAAAATGGTGTTTACTGAAGTAGAGGCCACTACAGTCTTAATAGGAGACTGAACTGTTCACCCTTAATTACCTTTTTATAAAGGCCTTTCTTGGGGCTTTTACTACCTGTTCGTGGTTTAAATAGTTTCTTTCTTCACCAGCAAGATTACTTGGAAATAAAGACTGTTTTAATTAGTCGTAAGGATAAACTCATCAACGTAGAGCAAGTGTGTGCCCATGACTCAATGGGCCAGGAATTTGGGGCTACACCCACTCCCACTCCTCAAACCCAGCACAGAGCTGTTTGTTCCAAAGATGAACAAAGGTGACTCCTGAATTGAGCTTAGATACGGGCCTGCAGAACCATGGTCTCTACGCTTGGTGTGAAGGAAGGAGGAAGGGGGCTGACCACCATATTTAACGAATTTGAGACTGCCTCAGTTCCAAAGTCCAGTTCTGGGGCAGATTCCACTGAGATGCTACATTGCAGGAGAAAGTTAAGATTTTTGATTCCAGATTTCCCTACTTTCTATTTTAAGTGTTTAAAGAGTTACATCGCTTATGTAGTTAGAAAATTAGTGATCTTACTTCATTTGGGGGAGAAGATGTTGATCATACACTGAGAAGATTTTTCAAGTGATTCACCAGAGGTTTATTATATCTACAGGCCTAGGATTTGCTTTGTAAATTATGTGAAAAATACATAGACTTTTTAAAACCTAGAAATAGTATTGGATTTAGCTCAGAATTTAACAGTGAGTTGATAATGATATTTTAAAAGAATAAAACCTTACATGTTTAAAAAACATGTTTTTTATTTCTGGGTTCTAACATTTCTGCCTACTGAGAAAGATCCAAACTTTCAGCCTTAGAATATTTTAAATATATTTTCTTCAAACAAAGCTAAAGATAACCTTGATATAATTAAAATACATTTTGTGTGTTATATCCTTCTATTTAAAGAAACAAAACCTACCTTTTATGTTCCTTTTAAATAATTTGCTCACTGAGTTTTTGTTACAATTAAAAATGTTTCTCACCAGGCACTGGTGAGAATTTTAGGTACTCCAGAAGCTGAGATCCTGAGGATCAAAGTTCAAAGCCAGTTTGGGCAGACAAATCTAAGAGACCCTTATTTCCAGTTAACCAGCAAAAAGCTTGAACTGGAAGAGTAGCTCAAGTGATAGAATATTGACTATGAGCAGAAAAACCCAGGGAAAGTGTGAGGTTCTGAGTTCAAGCCCCAGTCTGAACTCAAAAATAGGAATCTTTTGAGTGAATGGTACTAGGGTTAGAAGGCCTTTACCTTGTTAGGCTGGCAGGTGCTTTGCCGCTTGAGCCACACACTCAGCCTTCTTATTGCTTCATTTAATTATGTTTTGGATATGTCCATCCTCAAGTGATCCTCAAGTGATCCTCCTGTCTGTGCCTCTCCTGGAGAAGGTGTGAGCCACTGCACCTGCACAGCTTTTTTTTTTTTCATGATAACATGTTGTTGAATGTAAAGATGAAGGAAGAAAATGAGAGGCCTCTTTAATCCTGTTATTTTAGTAGTTTAAGAAGTAAATACTTTAGAGGCTTCTTAATCTTTTTTCTGCATAGTTTATCAATATATAATCATAATAAATTGTTCTATGTCTACGTTTGTATGATTTGCTTCCATAAGTGGATTCTAATAGTGCCTCTTAAATATGTGGAACAAGAGTATATTTTCTTAAAATGAAGACAGAGATGCACTGCATCTAGGGGTCCTAGGAGATGTATACCCAGAACGCAATCTGTGAAAGCGTGAGCTAGGGACTGGGCATACACACTGACTGGGAACCATAGGAACCAGGCTTGGCCACTGAGGTCATTGAATGTCCCAGAGCCTTGGCTTCTCTCTCTGTTGAGTGGAGGTGGTACTTGTGGTTTCCTACGATTGGTTAGGTTGTTCATGCCTGGTACAGAGAAGGTGTCCAGTCATTATTAACTGGAAGTGAAATGCAGGCAATGTGTAGATGTCCAGTGTTTGGGGAAGGTTTGGAGCTGTTGTGCTGGTGAGGGTAGCTCAGCGGGCTGCAGTTGGAAGTGAATGAGATGTTCTGCAGTACAATGTGTCCCTAACATTGCGCACTATTCTGTCTCTTTCCCTTTCTGCAGCAAGCAGCAGATTGGAATAAATATGATGACCGGTTGATGAAAGCTGCAGAGAGGGGAGATGTGGAGAAAGTGTCCTCAATCCTTGCTAAAAAAGGAATGAACCCTGGCAAAGTAGATGTGGAAGGCCGGTCCGCGTAAGTATTCCCTAAGTACTGTGAGTCCCAAGGCAGTTCCGGTACACCTGGATACAAATGAAAGTTTATGAATGGTGGTTCTCCACTTCCTCATTTTAAAGGCCTTTGTCAGAACTCACAGCAGTGCAATTTTAAACAAACTAATGATCGTTATCCATTTTAGAGATTCCCTAGGCTGGGCTCAGTGAGTCAAGCCTGTAATCCTAGTTACTTGGGAGGCAGAGATGGGGGTGGATTTGAAATGGCCAGCCTGGGCAGAAAGACATTCATGAGACCCCATCTTATCTCGCCTGTGGAGTCCAGTGGTTGAAGTCTCTGACTCCAGCTGGCAGGGGAAGCACAATGGCTAGACATGGTGGCACATGCCTGTCATCCCAGTGATCCCTCCCCCTCCAGCCCAACTGAACTGCAGTTGTGGTTATTTTGAGGCATTGTCCTTACCATATTGATCTCCATAAAAGTAGCAGGAAGAAGCTTGCAGACATCAAAGAGCTTGTTCTAATCGCATGAAAAGTCACAGAGCTGAGAGACAAACCCAGCCTCTTCACAAATTCCCCTTCCTGCCAACTCAGGTTTTCCCTTGGATACTAGTGTCACCTGTGTGTGTGCCGTTGTGTCCCCGAGGAGGACATCTTGCTTGTTTGTGGCTTCTGAACCCTGTGCTTCTTCCCTACTCATCCCAGGTCCCCATTGCTTCCCTTTCTGTGAGGCAGGAAGCAGTGGGTTAAAGGGCAGATCTAGATTCTGTTAAGATGCTCTATTAATTATCACAGTGGAAGTCTTATCTGGGCACCCTTCCAAGGTTAGAGGTGAAAAGTCCCATTTCCTGAAATTCCTCAGCCTTTGCTTGCATGAATTCTATTCAGAATATCATAACTGGAAACCAGGCACTAAATATAGAAATGAATGCTAGGACATGAACAATATTTGATGTAGGTCAATGAAAATACAGTAAAGAGAGCAAAACATGACTACAAATGAAGTCACTTTTAAGAGCAATAAAGTTTGAAAAGTCTTAAGTGTATTCTGTTTTATCATGAAGTACCTTGACAGGTGTAGAGCTTAGTCCTTCCCTTGTTTTTCTCCATACTTACAGTACAAATAGTAAGGCATTAATATCTAGAAGTGACTTTGTTTTTCCAGTGTCTTTTCCAAACACTAAACTGTTAAAATATGAAGGGAAGAAACTCAAATGTGCTCATTCATGCTTTTGATGTCTTGAATGAAGGTTGCCTCAGGATTGGTTTTTTGGTTGATGTTTTGGGGGTTTTCAGCCTAAGGTTCAATTGAGTGAGATTATTTAGAGTATTATAATAATTTAGAGTTTCAAGAATAGAGTTTTAATAATAGAATGTTACTTGATGAGCTGTGAACTCCGGTAAAAGACTGCATTAGTGTTAGTCTTGGAGGGTTTTCACCAGAGGAAAGAGAACAACTCCTTGGGATTCACAAAACAAAGCATTTCTCTTTCAGATATGTACACATAAACTAGAGTCTTACTTTATTAAAGCATTTTGTACTTAGGACATGCTACAAATGTATCTTCTGTATTATCTGTAATGACAGAAAATATATTTCTATTTTATCTCTTTTTTTTTGTAACAAGTACTTCTTCAGAGTGGTTTTGGAAAGAAAATATTTTAGGCTTAAAACAGACAAGGATCTGTTTCCTCAGTTTACCTCTACACTAGTGCAGCCCTTGGCTCCCCTCCCCAGGTGGCTTGTGTACCAACGTGGAGCTGTACCTACATTGAGCTGTGAGCTCCACTTCCCATTCGCTTGGGGCTGTGAAAGTGCTGCTCATCCTCCCAACTGCCTACTATGGAGGCTAAATGCTTCTAGGGAGGACTTGGCCTTGGATTTGAATGTCTTCTTTGTGGGCCTCTGTCTTTCCTTGCAACCTGGCTTAGTCATGGTTTATTTGTATTTCCTTGCAACTTTTCTGCTTGTCTCCTGAGGTAACCATGGTCCACATTGCCTGGGTCTTCTCAAAATTCTGGAAGTCCAAGTCCATGTTTTCTATATTTAAACGTTTTCTTCTGGTGGTAATAGAATATGAACTTGGGACCACACATTGCTTGGCTCACTCAGTTGTCCTACCATTTTGAGCAGTGCCTGCAGTCCTGATTTTGCTGGTTGTTTTGGAGATGGGGATCTCAAAGGCTTTTCTGCCCAGGCTGGCTTCAAATCCTAGTTAATCAGGGAGGCTAAGATCTGGATCAGCCTCCTTGATTAGCCAGGATTATAGGGATAGGCCACCACGGCCTATGTCCTGTTTTTTAAAAAGAAATCTTTGCAAGAGTTGATTTTCCAATTGCAAAAATAGATTTCTGTGAGGTGGCTTTTCATATTTCCTTTGCAACTCCTTGCACACACTTTCTGAAGCATGTCGGCAGCCTCTGGCATGCCAGAATTAATGAAGCATTGTAGATGTGCTGTGATCTCTGACCTCTTGTACTGGCATCTAACACTCAGGTGGGCTCTAGTCGTGTCCTTGGAGTAACAATTGTTTTCTTTGTGGTCAGCTTCCATGTGGTGGCCTCCAAGGGGAACCTTGAGTGTTTGAACGCCATCCTCATACATGGAGTGGACCTCACAGCCAGCGACCCTGCAGGTATGCTAACTGAACTGCTGTAGCCTGCAGTAAAACAGGAAGATGTTCCAAACCTCATCTTCCATCATTCTGTGGGGGAAGTGCTAAGGATTGTATTCAGGGCCTTGCAGGTACTAGGCCAGCATTCTACCACCCAGACACTGCTAACCTTCTAAACCAGACCTAAGTGGGGCAAAGCAGGAGAAATCCTAAATTCTCTTTTCAAATAGTTGAGACAGAGTTAACTTCTGAAGTATCACTGTTGGGAGAGATCTGGGATAGGAAACAGGAGAACGTGTTACTAAGCAGGTGGAGACCTGTAGTCTAGTGCTGGTCTTAGTAGTCTTGCTAGTCCTAAAGGTTCTGATTTGAAGAATCTTGAGGTCCTTTTAGTTTGTGCTCCATGCTGTTATGAGTTCATTCTCTTGATGGGCCTCAGAATTCTGCTAATTACCAGGACAGTGGGCATTTGTGTCACATTGTATAAGCCTCCTGCAGCTTCTATGTAGGAACTCCTCTCATCCTCACATTAGCCTGGGGAGATTGGGGTGCCGAGCCCAAGTTCCCTGCCCAGACCTGCAGACCAGTCTCCGTCAGGTTGTATTCTATTTGCAGCATTTTATCTCAGAAAGAATTCCTCTGGTGTTTGCTCAGCTATATCTAAAAAATTCATATATAAACAGAATCTGTCTTCTGCTTATATCTAGTGGTACTTAAGTGTGTCCTTTGAAGTCTTGCATTGCATATCAAAGATAGGATAGAGTACTTGAACCCATTTCTGCTTTCCCTCAACAGCAGAGCAAGGGTTGTGGACTCATCAAGTCAGCCCTTCTCATTTGTCTGGGATTTTAACAGCACTGTGATCCATAGCCATGCTTTGTAATTCAGCTACACATAGAGTGATCCTAAAGTAGAGACTTTTCTTATAATTCCAATACTTTTCCAACTAAGGAACAGCAGCTGAAAGCCCTAGAAGCCATGATGGGCAGACTTGAATGCTTCTCCTAGGCTGCCCTTAGCCCACCTGCCTATACTGTTAGTTTTGTAAAGATCCAAGTAGTCCTTGAAAGAAAGAAGAAATCCCACCTCTGCTTGCTGTGTTGCCACATTTGGACAAGTCAGTGTATTACTGCTAACCCACAGTGACTTAGAGGGAGCACAGAGCGGGAGTTACATCACAGTTGGGTTAGTGAGGAAAATTGGCACCTGAAGATCCATCATTTCCAAATTACAGACCAAACGCAATTTATTGTTCACTTTTGAACAAAGGAAGAACGTGTTTACTGTGAGCACTTCTTACATCGGTGGATAGCACACATTTTTAGAAGTTGTAGATTGAACCTCTTAAGAACTCTTGGGGCTGTTCTTGTGCTGATTCAGTTCAAACCTGTGTTGTATTGTGTGTGTTTTCTATCTGGACACCTTTGCCTGCTGCTGAATGAGTGCCTTAGGCCTCCCTCCTTCAGTGCAGATAGAGCTGCATGGTGTATTATCCACACACCAGGCCCAGGGCCTCACCAACTCTTCCTGTCCTCTGTGTAGCTGAGTCTATAGTTCATTGGTTCATTGTCACTAGAGCTGTCCTTTGTTTAAAATAAGAACCTTTCTTAATTGCTCTGGTGTCTGCTTTTAACCCAATGTAGGTATTTGTTAAATATATTTGATGTACTTGTATATATGTATACACACATGCACATATATTCACATATATGTAAAGTCAAGCATGATGGTGGACTCCTCTTTTCCAGCACTCAGGAAGCTGAGGCAGGAGGATCATGAGTTTGAGATCAGCCCCGGACTACATAGTGACACCCTGTCTCAAAGCAAAGCAAAACAAAGCATGTATAGATCGATACACATGCATGCATACGTGTGCATGTGTAAATCATCTTAACTCCTGTTTCCTATGAAGGTTATTTCTTGGTACCCGCCGCTCCCCAGCCTCTTTGGCATTTTTCTGAAAGTTGCAACTTTATAGCTAATGTTTTCTTGTTTTCTTGCTGCTGTTTCTGTGACTAACATTTTTAGGTGACAAAGTTTGCACACTATTTTGCTGAACAACAGCCTAGTGTCCCTGGCCGTGTTCTCACTGCTCATTTAGAGACCTGTGCTCATTTAGAGACCTGTCTGTGTTTTTGCTTTAAAATCTGGTTAATCAGCTATATAGATGTGATCAGACCCAGAAAAATTTGCCACCTATCCAAACTCGTGAAACAGAGAATTCAGAACCAGATTATCCATCTAGAATAGTCAGACTGTAAATTACTTGTTTTCTAGCAGAAATTAAGTTTTAAGATAGGTTAGAAAGAAATTTGGAGCATTAAAAACTAGAAGCTGGCATAACCTAGTGAGACTCATATCTTTGCCTTTCAAGAATGACGGCTGTGTAAGAAATACAGTTACACCAGGTACAGGTGGCTCATGCCTAGCTACTCAGGAGGCTGAGAACTGAGAATTGAGGCTTGAAGCCAGCCCAAGCAGGAAAGTCCATGAGACTCTTATCTCCAATAAAGTACTCAGAAAAAGCTGGAAACGGCACTGTGGCTCTAGTGGTAAAGTGCTAGCTGTTCAGGGACTGTTCCCTAGCCCTGAATTCAAGCTCCCCCAGGATTATCTGTGCCTGCGCGTGCGTGTGCACACACACAAACACACACAAACAACTACAAGAGAGTTTGGAGGTAGGATGTTCTCTACAAGTGAACCTTTCTGGAGTTCAGAATCACCTTCCAGATTGTCAGTCACCTCCCCAACCTTGGGTGCAGCCTTGAACACTAAACTTCACATCTGATTCTCAGAGACACGTGGACTTTGAATTTTAGCTGAAGCATAAACATTTGAGACCCCCTTCTGTAACCTCTCTGTCTTTACTCTCTCCATATCCACCACCCACAGGAAATCTAGGTCTCCTCTCCTCTCCTTCCCTCCTGTATCCTCTCCTCTACCTTCCCCTTCTCTCACCAGGATTTCACCACCAGCTTTGTCTTTGTGCTACAGACATGGTGGTACATAGGGTAGAGGTACTACTCTTTGGAGATTTATACCATTATTTTCTTTTCCACCTTCATTGTTTTGGTGTGTTTATTATCTCATATTAAAATAGCATAGTGTAAGGTGACAACAATGAAAACCTGCTTATAAAGTATTATAAAGGTGATGTACAGAGGGGTTACAAGTGATTTTTAAAATAGTTTCTATGAAAATTCATAGGCTCCTTCCCATACGTCTCCCATGATTTCTAGGGAGAAATGCTCTGCACCTGGCTGCTAAGTATGGACATGCATTGTGCCTACAGAAACTTCTACAGGTAGGTTATTTTTACTGCAAGAAAAAAAAATGTGTTCTTACTATCATTTTGGGATTTGAGAGCAAAGAAAATGGTAGGGTGACTTTGACTGTTGTGTTTCATGGTTTTTTTCCATCATTCATGAAGGAATGTGAAGGATGGAGAACAAAAACTCCAGGGAAGCAAAGTACATAACTCAGCATATTAAAAATAAATAACAAAGACTTGACCTTCCTGTTGACCTTAGCTGGAGATTGGAATTTTCTGTGGTCTAGAACATGGCATAAGATAAAATAATACAACAAATGATTTATCTATTTCTGTACAAACATAGATAATATAGATAATGGAGCAGTAACATCATTAGTGAAACTTGTAATGGACAAATCACAGCATCCTATGAACTTCTTGGCTGAGTTAGCCTTTGCAGGTCCACTCAGTGTTTGCCACTCAGTTGCCTAGAGGAACCGACTTGTGCTTTGATTCAGCAGCTCCTTTTAATTCTTGCTGAAAATAAAATCCCAAACAATAATGTATTTTCAATACTCCATGCTATTGTAATGTCCATATGTTTCCTGTTTGGCAGAATGCTGTTAAATTTACAGTTAGATGACGTTATTCTATTTGTTTCATGTCAAAATATTTAGTAGATTGTCAAAAGTCTTTACTTTCTTTGATAAGTGGAATATTTGCAGATTAAATAACAGCTGTTAGTTTGAGTATGGATATTGGATTTTAAAGTAAACTCCCAGATCACCAGGTTTCTGTTTCCACAGTACAATTGCCCCACCGAGCTCGTGGACCTACAGGGCAGAACTGCACTTCATGATGCAGGTGAGCCCAGCACCTGCCTGTGCGGGAGTCCCTGGGTGTCTGCTCATTCAGATTCATCCCAACATGGTTCTGTTTGTCTTTTTGTGCTGGTACTGCTTGAACTCAAGGCTTCACTCTTTTGCTCGGCTTTCTTGCTCGGCTGGCGCTCTACCACTTGAGGTATGCCTCCAGTCTGGCACTTCACTGGTTAATGGAGATGGAGTCACACAGACTTTTCTGAATTATTCTTTAGGTGGCATAAAGAAAGGTACACCCTCAACAACTAGATAGTTGAGTACTTTTTAGTTATTGCTGAACATGCTTTTCTTGCCTGTCTCTTCTAAATGTGAAATTCCTGTTGTTTTCTGGAAAACATCCTACCTACCCTCTCACATATAGAAAATATTGGCATATGTTAGAGTGATACGTAGTAAAAATGTTGTTCATTAACTTCCCTTCAGAGTTTTTATACAGCCTTAATTTTCTTTCAGTTTTTTCTTCTTGCATTTTAGGTACTTCTATTTATTTGTTGTCCTTTCTCTCCCAAAGCAATGGCAGACTGTCCATCCAGCATACAGTTGCTCTGCGACCACGGTGCTTCTGTGAACGCCAAAGACATAGTGAGTCCATGCTCATGATCTCACTTCTGCTCTGGCCTGTGAGCTTCCGTGTGGTGTCTGATTGGTGGTGTCTTAATGCTGGCTTATTTTTCTTGTTGCTTAGGACGGGCGGACACCACTTGTCCTGGCCACTCAGATGTGTAGGCCGATGATATGTCAACTGCTGATAGATAAAGGGGCTGATATTAATTCCAGGGATAAACAAAACAGGTAATTCTCTCCTTGTAGTTTCTTACATGGCTGGTGATGATGAGACCTTGTTACCATGTCATTATTGCCATCCCCGCAGCTCCTCATCCTTGGCTCTCTTTTAGTTAGTGTCTACTTCCCATTATGCAGTCTGTAGGGAGGAAGGAGAGGGACAGGTGGCAGGATGAACACTGAATAAAAGCTCTGATTGGGTTAGAGGCTGAAGGAAAGAGGACTCCAGGTTATTTTAAGCTTTAAAAATACCTTTAGACAGATGCTGGTGACTCATGCCTGTAATCCTAGCTACTCAGGAGGCTGAGACCTGGAAGATCATAGTTTGAAGCCAACATGGGCAGAAAAGTCTTTGAGAACCTATCTCCAGCTAGCCAGCAAAAGGTTGAACTGGAATCACAGCTCAAGTGGTAGAGCACCAACCATGAGCGAGCAAGCCAAGTGACCATGAGGCTTAATGAAATGGGCACAAATAAGAAACAACAAGGGAGTAAAGTAATTCCCTTATCTCTGGAGTGGGGAGGTGTTCTTGGCACCCTGTGGCTTGCTGGCTGTGTGTCAGTTAATTTCCCAGGAGTTTTCATCTCAGGCTGCTGGGGCCTAGTGTTGTCTTCTGGGATTTTATAGACAGTTAAGAATAAAGTCATTCTTTTTATTTGATTTCATTTTTCTTAACGTTGTATCCTGTTGCTTTTAATTTATGGGAAGCAGAAAAACAAAGTAGTCTTTGGATTTTATAGTTCCCATTGTTTTTATTTTTCAGACATCTCAAAGAAGGAAATTCTTAAGCAACTAAATCATTAGTGTGACTAAAAGTTTTTTTTTTTAATATTAGCCTTTTTCATTCAGTCTAATCTGGTTCCAAAACATGAATAAGAAAATTTGATTTTAAAGATTAAGTTTTACCTGAGGGATAAGGAATTATTACTTCTGTAATATTTTGTGCTTGTTAGAAAAACAACTTAAAATGCCTACCTAGTCCAGAATAAATGAAATGTTTTTTTAAAAAGATTACATTTTACAAGCAGAGAGAGATAATCTAGTTATCAGTGAATATGTCTCATGTTTGTATAGACCTTATATTTTTGAAAGGGCTTTTTTTCCTCCCACTGAAGATTGACAAAAATCTCAGTAAGGCAGGGCAGCATGTGTTTTGTAATTGAATAGCTGATGGTTCAAAAATAGAGTTGACATTGTATTTAGGATTTTTTTTTCTGTTCCATCTTTAGCAGTTTTAACCTAATAACAAAAACTTCATTTCATTTTTTTAAACAGAATTTTAGACTAGCAACTAAGGGAAAGGAGGCTATAGAAGAAAGAGAGCATTTGTCATGAAAGGCAAGAATAAATTTCCTAATGAAACAATTGTATTTCGGTGTCCACAATTGAAAACAGAGTGAGACACAGGATCAAGACTTGATTTCAACAAGTGTTTGTTCCCTCATCAATAAAATTACAAGATTTGGTAAAATAATTTCTAGGATCCTTGTAAGTTTCCACAACAATTTAAGGCTATTACTGCGCAATTGTGCTTTGCCACTGTACTGTAAGTGTGTGGGATGTATAATGAGTTTCTCCTGTAGCTCTACAGGGGCACTGAGATACATTTCAAACGAAGCCTACCTGAAAGATCTCCTTATAGAGGAAGCAACAGGACCCCAGGAAGAAAATCTCCTCCTTCACTGAAAGGAGAAGGATTTCTAGGGGAAGTTTGTATGCTATGGCTCAGCTCACAAAGGGACCTTGAATAGTGAGGTTTTAATATATATGTAATTGTATTAATGATATTAAGGTGTTGTACAGAGGGCTTATCATTTCATAAGTCAGCACATTTCTTTTTTAGACAATGTCCTTTACTTTCACCCAATTTTCCCCTCCTGTCCCTGGCACACAAGTTACATAGTTTGTTTTCCACCGAATGTCTACTGGTACCATGGTTGCATTTGTTCACCCTTCCTCCCTCCATTTCTGTACCCCTATTTGCTCCTCCCCCCCAAAAGACAACAATAACAACAACAAAAATCCCAAAACAGAAACAAACACCACCATGACCAACAACAACAAAACCCATGCTTCCATTTCCTGCACTTTGTTTCTATAAATAGTATTTTAAATGTTCAGAGGAAAACCCTTGGGTTTGAACAGACAAGATGAGGGTGATTATTTATAGGACATTGAAGAAGTGGAATAAAATGGGTTAGTTTGGTGGCCTAAGAAAGGATGAGATGGTAGAAGATTCTGTCTGCAAACAACACAAGGCAAATGCTTTTATAAATGTGAAAAATACAGGATAAAAGTATAAAGTGAAATCTATATCTGTGTCGATAGCAAATGTAACTTCTTCAAGTGCTTGTCTCTTCTTTAAGGTGCCCCTGGCAGAGTTATTCTGGACTGTTCTCTGGGGTTCTCCTCATTTTCTTCTGTCTGCCTTTCAGAACTGCTCTCATGCTGGGCTGTGAGTATGGCTGCAGAGACACTGTAGAAGTCTTAATTAGAAATGGTGCTGACGTAAGCTTGCTGGATGCCCTCGGCCATGATAGTTCTTACTATGCAAGAATTGGGGACAACCTGGACATCCTCACCTTGCTGAGGACTGCATCAGAGAATGCCAGCAAAGGTACAGCCCTTTCTGTGACCAGGAAATACGGCTGACTTGGTCAGCAGCAATCCTGAGACCTGGTCCCCCTCCCTCTGTCATGATTGGCTTAATTATGTCATCGTCACTTGTTGCCAGGAAGTTTTATCACATATAGTTGAGTTTATTAAGTGAACCTTGATCTGTGGACCAATCTAAGAATTAAGGTGCGAGGCAATTCAAATGTCTTACTAATGTTTTTTGATGGACTCATAAAAATAACATTGATTTTCTTTCTTTGCTAAGGGAGAGGGAAACCCCTAACTTTTATTCTTCTAAAGTTTTAAAGAAACAACAGCTGTTTCCACACACATATAAACCAGTCAGTTACTCAGTTCTGAATGCTTGTGGATATTTTTCTGTTTATGAAAGAAAACTTGGAAAATATATAAAAGCACAATGGCCCCTCCGCGTATGAGCTGGGGCCCATGTCTCCTGTAGTCTTTTTTCCTGCTCATGTTGGGGTAATAATTTAACTTTTTGATAGTATATTTGAATTTGGCTTTTCCTATAGCAAATATTTTTCTTTTTTTTTTTTTGGGTCCGGTCGTGGAGCCTGAACTCTGGGCCTGAGTGCAGTCCCTCAGCTCTTCAGCTCAAGGCTAGCACTCTACCACTTGAGCCACAGCGCCACCACTTCCGGTTTTTTTTTTTTCTGCTTATGTAGTGCTGAGGAATTGAACCCAGGGCCTCATGCATGCAAGACAAGCGCTCTACCACTGAGCCACCTTCCCAGCCCAGCAAATATTTCTATAGTATATTTTTTCGTGATGCATAAGATCTCATTTATTTAAATTTAGTTTGATAAAGCATCTTTCTACAGGAGGTGTTTAAGCTATTGGAGTTTTCCCCTGGTTTGTCTGTATAGATAAATATTTGCAATATTTTTATTATCCCCTTTAGATAAGTTCCTAGAAACTGAGTCACTAGGCATCAGGGATGTACACTGGTTTAGGTTTTTTGATATTTATTAACAAATTTCTTCCCAGTTTACCTTAATACCATCATTTGGGGGAAGGGGAAAACTTGCTAATTGGGTAGATGAAAACAATGTTATCTTGTCATAAGCTATGGCAAGCTTTCCAGGAAGGTTTAAAGTGTACTTACTAACACACCTGCCGGATTTATGCTGTTGTCCCACCGGTTTTCTCTCTCTTTAATCTTTAGGGAGAGAACTTTGGAGGAAAGGAGCCCCTTTGCAACAGGTAGAACTTAATTTTAACTATTATGTGTAGTGTGTGGCTTAATTGATATGCTTGGGAAAGCCAGTTAGAGATGTACCACTCCTGTGAGTTTGGAGCATGATGCCCTACTTGGTGATCTATGCCCATGAAGAACCTGGGTGCCGGGGTCATGATGTTCTGATGTTCTGTGAAGACACCTTCACATAGATCAGTCTCAGTTAATACGCCCAGTAGGGGGTGGGCAGGCAGTCTGGGGCCTTGATCACCTCCTAATGTGTGAAGTTCCTATCCTTACTTGAGGTTCTTAAGTGATGAGTTTTGGCCTGACAGGTACTGCCTGCCCTCTTCTCCTTACAACAGAGCCAAGTATGTCCTGTTCTGGGAGGATGCTACCAGTACACTAAGAAATGAAGATAACTGAGTTTGGGGGGAGGGTGGGAGGACAGATAATTGTTGTTGGTGTTCTTGGTCTTTTGTTTGGGTTTTGTTTTTTCTCAGACTGGGTCTCCCTTCGTAGGCTGGCCACAAACTCCAGGTCCTCCTACCTCAGCCTCCTGAGTGCTGGCAGGCCCCACCATGCAAAAACACAGGACTCAAAACTAATAATATGTTGTGATTTTAATACTGCTCCTAACATTTCTTCTTTTTGTATTTCTTATATGTGGATCTAATTGAGGACTTGTCTTTAAAAAATAACATAGTCCCCGAAAGAGTTTATACTTGGTACTAATTTTACTAACAAGCAGTTTAACACTGGTTTTGTGTCTCAGCTGGAGTAAATGTGTCCTGTTCTGCTCTCCTCTCTCAAGTTGAAGTGATTGTACGACACTCTGGCTCCAGGCTAGCATAGGCAGCTTTCCTCCCACGCTAGCTCTCTGCTCTCCTCCAGAACCTCTAGTCCCCGACGAGAAAGCCCTCAGGTACCACCCGCGCCTCACCATCACTTTGTCATCTCATCATCCGCCGACTCCCATGCTGCATTCAAGCATCTCCCTTCCCTGCATCAGTGTGCAGCTCACCCACACATGGCTCATGTCTGTTGTCTGTCTGTTCCCACTTTTCTTTTCATCTGGGGTAACTTTCTAACTTCTTCCTGTGCCTCTGCTAGCCAGCCTAGGATAAGAGGAGGAGGAGGAGGAGAAGGAGGAGGAAGAAAGGAGTCAAATACAGTGTCCACTGCTCAGTCTGCACCTTCCACCTCACATGGAACCAGGAAAACTGTACTCTGCAGTGTTCATGTTCAGTAGGGGGCGCTGTTAGAGGGAAGCAATGCAGAGCTCCCTGTAGGTTATCTGAGTGAAAACAAGGAGCTTGTGTTTTACTGGGAACAGTAAGGCCGCTGGCTCTGAAATGCTGTGTTTCCATTTTGTATTGTATACTCCTAGAATCCCTGCTGTCCATAGGATTTATTCTGGTCCTATGATCAGAAGCCCACAGTGTACTTGCAGATACACCTCTAGTGTCTGCAGGGGACATCAGTGTGTGGTCCCATCCCTTGAAAGCACCTAGGTCTGGAGGAAGAAGAATTTGGCAGCACAGGGCAGCATAGCCCTCCCTTCATCTCCACGAAGTTAAAGCAGGCTGAGGGAGGAAGCTGCCAAGGGTGGGGCTGGGTAGGGCCTCACAGACGCATATCCTTGCCTACTAGGCTGCAGAAGGAAGCTGTGCTCCGTGAAGGAGGCAGGAGAAGCCAGTCAGGTAGCAGTTGCTAGGTCAAGGACATTGCATTTATACCCGCACACCCCACAGCAGCAGGTACTGGGGTACCATCAACGGTGTGTGCCCTACCCTGTGGAGCCAGGGTGCCAGGGAGGGACTTCAGGAATCTATCAGGGATCTAGTGTTAAGGTCAGCATTTCTGAGGAGCTGGGGTGGAGTGGAGGAATTGTGGAAAGTGGGATGATAAAGTGAGCTGTGCCCAGATGACAGGCTCCTCTGGTGGACAGGCCTCTGGCAGAAAAGTAGTTGGAGCCAAATTTGGATCACACCTTTAATGTTTTATCAAAGTCCTAGAATGATGGTTAGTTAATACAGAAGCCTTCAAAGAGTCGGATACAGAGTAGCTTTTTAATAATACCCAAATTCTCCTCCAGACACATTAGAATGATGGTTTAAAACTTGGTTCAACAAAACTGGATGAAATGAGAACAATAACTTGGAGTATGAAAACAATCTCTTATGAAAACCTCAGGAAGAGGTTTTTTAGCTTTCTAAATTAGTTATTCTGCAGATGTCAAGATGAGTTTTGGGGAAAAAAGGGAGGCTAAGGGTTGGTCTGTTTACTCACTGTGTTGTGTTTTTGTTGACATTCGTCTCTAAGCTGCAGGAAAGTTGCACAGCAGTAGGTGCACAAAAACAATGTTTACCCGCCCAGGCCATTTGGAGAACTTTTGTGTACTTGGGTAGCAGGGCTGTCTGTCTCCTCAGGAAGCCACTCCTGAGATTGAGTCTGAGCAGGGCTAGAGGGAAAGCAAGTTGTAGGGACCCCTGCTGTCCTTACCACTTAATGCGACCTGCTGTTTCTAATTACACTCTTATTTGGGAGTGGTAGGTGGGGCTTTTAGCACTGTGTGTGTGTGTGTGTGTGTGTGTGTGTGTTGTGTCTAGTACAAATTTTCCTTTTTAAAATGTGATGGTTTTAATCTAAACCAATTGTTAAGTTTTAAAAATTCTCTTAGTATTTAAAAACATGCTACACTTGTCTTAGTAAACCCTGTCTCATTGAAACACTATGCATTTTAAGTGGACATGCCGCCCCCTGGTGGTATGTGCAGTCTACTGTACTTTTCTGTGCCCTCATGCATGCTAACCTGCCCTTTCTTTATGTTTCTCCAAAGTGGAATGTAAAAGAAGAGGTCAACATGAAGTCGAATCAGAGAGAGCGTCCCAGTGTTCAGGTACAAAGGAGAGCCAACTTGGTGCTTCCTTTAAGCACAGGTGGTCTGTGATTATGTCTTTTCTAGTTTATTCTACAAGAATTGACTTCGGGTGTGGGGGGAAACTAAGGCTTGAACTCAGGGCCTAGGACTTGCAAACAGATGTTCTGCCACTTGAGCCAGACCCCAGCTCTAAGGATTAGCTTATTATGAATGTTTGTATTATAGTAATGATTAAATTTATAACATTGGAAGTATGATGTGCAAAGTATTGCTTTAATATTCATTAGAAAAACACAAATGATTTAGCAGTTATGAAACTATTGGTTCAAGTGTGTCTTCATGAGATAGAAGATCATTTTGGAAAATTATGATGATAAAAGTTAAATTGAATCACTGTTCTTAAAGCTGTTTTATGTACATATGTATGTGTATATGGTAGTGAACTGCTTTTAAAATTACCTTCTGTAATTGCTCTTTTTAAAGACTATGTTTTGTTTCTTATTTAAGGAGCTGGAGATTGAAAATGAAGATTTGAAAGAGAGATTGAGGAAAATTCAGCAAGAACAAAGAATATTGTTGGATAAAGTCAATGGCTTACAGTTACAGCTGAATGAGGTGAGTGATCTGTCTAATCTTTTAAAAATTCCCAAATTAATGATATAGTCATTATCAGTAACAAATGGTTATCCTTTGCCTGTTGATTCAAGTCCTGGTGCTAAAAGGTAAAACAGGTCTGAGCATGGTGACACACATCTATAATCCCAGCAACTGGGAGGTGGTTTAAGGTTAGTGGTTCAAGGCCAACACAGGCAAAAAGTTAGTTAGATTACATCTCTGCAGATATGCTCGTGTGGTGGTGCATGGCTGTGGTCTTAAGTACTTGGGAGGCAGAGGTGGTAAAGTTGATGTTCAAGATCAGCCAGTCTTGGCAAAAAACTGTAGACTTAATCTGAAAAATAACTAAAGCAAAAAGGGCTTGGGCCATGGCTCAAGTGGTAAAATGCTTGCCTATTGTGCACAAAGACCCTGAGTTCACATATCAATACTGACCACCACCACCAACCCCCTTCCCCCCCCCCCCACAAAAAAGCACAAACAAAAGCCAAATTGACTTTGGATTTTATCTGTAACACTGGACATGAGAAAATGTGGATATGGGAAGAACAAAGAACTAAATTAGGCTTTTGAGGCCCTGGGCTTGGTGAGGAAGGAGGAGATGGAAGATGTAAGGAAGGAGAGAGAGCCAGTACTTGGGTTCTTTTGTCTTGAAAATGCTAGTGGAGTAGTGACCAGGCTGAACCGGTGCCCACGCCCATGGCAGCACACAGACGCTTCCCACACCTGCATCCCCACTCTAAAGGCAACCCAGTCCTTTGAGAAGATGTCTGGCAAGCTTATATGCCTTTTAAGGAAAACTTTCAAGAGCTAAAGTGCGTTTCTTCTTCTTAAATCTAGGAAGTAATGGTTGCTGATGATCTGGAAAGTGAGGTAGGATGATACTTTTGTTTTTAAACCATAATAACGTTTTGCACATTGAGAATGGTATTGTAGAAGAGGTTTAGGTCCTAAATTGACATGGAGAGGCTTTTATTTCCAGTTATTGCTTAAAAAGAGAAGAAAGCTGGGTGTGACTGTCAAATTCTGTTCAATGTAGTTTTCTATGAATCTTGATATGAAAAGATGAAAAATCCTAAACATTGTAATGGAAATGTCCAAAAGTAATTGATTTAAAACAAGAAAAGTTTGAATTTTTTATCATACTATATATATATGTATATATAAATCATATGTTTTATTAGCATATTTATATAAACAGCAACTCTACCACTGGTTAAGTTAGGCCTGGTTTGGAGATGTCATTAACTCTAGTCCTTAAAGTCATTTCAGTTCACCTTTTCTAAAACATACTTTCAACTTAGTTAAAGCACAGGGTAATTTTGCTTTATTCTGTATTTATTCTATTCCGTTTCAGAGAGAAAAGCTGAAGTCCCTTCTGGCAGCTAAAGAAAAGCAACATGAAGAAAGCTTAAGAACTATTGAGACTCTGAAAAACAGATTTAAATATATTGAGGTACAGAAAACTTAAATTATATCCTGTAATTCATAGTTGGTATCCTGTAATTCATAGAACTTAGCATCTGACTTGAACCGGGAGTCCCGAGTCTGTTCTCTGTGACCTAATCTCAGGCAGTTTATTTGAGGTCTCTTGAGTTGATTGCCCCATTGGCAAAGTGGGAGGCATTCCCCTTTTGCAGACATGCAGAGGCTGAATCATTGCAGGGATCAGATGAGGCTGGCATTTAACGCATCCTCCGCTCCCTTCCGAACTTTCCTTCATGTCCATTCTTCCCTTCTTTGGGCTTCCATTTTTACCTGCCACTGCAGGGCTTGTGAAAGTCATAAGAGCAGAGCGACAGATGGATGAGGTGGGATATCCAGGTTTGCCAGGAATGAATGTGGGCATGGGTTAGTCAGGGAATCACAGAAGAGAGGGCATGTAATCTGGTCCAGGGCATATACTCATCTTTGCTTGCATCAGCTAGCTGTTTTTCTAAGATCAAGCTTTAGCTTTTAACCAAAATATAATATCCATTAAAAGGCATACCTGTTAAAACTAGTCTAGTTGATCAGTTTTCACAATTTTAATATACCTAGATCAAAAAACCAAACATAACCTCACCCAGGAATACTGGCTTCTTGCCCTGCCCAGAGGGGAGCCACTTGTCCTGACTCTGTCTACACAGAATTATTCTATAAGGCCAGAGTGTATATTTTGTAGATATCACTTGTCACTGGGGAGGCTGCTGAAAGGGTCTTTTATGCCCTGATTGTTTATGGCTGTAACAGGCCTTTGCCTCAGTTTCCGTTCTATCTATCTACTTTTGCCTTCACAAGTAATCAGTGCTTTATAAACTTAGTCTCTAGGCAGGGAGGTGGGCTGTCCTCCGGCAGTGGTGAGGTGCAGTGTGGCTCTGCCTTTTTAATGTGAAGCAGCAGCAAGTGCTAGGGGTTCAAAGTTGCTTGCTTTAGAGCAGTGAACTCTTTCTTTAAAACTCTGGGCTGTTTTCATGACAGTGCTCAGTGAAACAGTTTATTTCCAGCTGATCTCTCTTTGTTGCTGGTACTCTGTTTTAGGAGCTAGAATAATATTCTCGAGAAACAATGTCAGAGATATGGTTTTAATGATACTCATTGAAGTTAATATAGGTAAAATGTTTGACAAAATGCTGTAGTATCTACCTAAAATGATGTAATTCTTGTTTCTGATTTCAGAGTGATCATTTAGGCTCAGGAAGTCATTTCAGTAACCGTAAGTATGAAAGTATAGCTGCCAGCATGGCTCCCAGCTCAAGTGCAAAAGAACTTGTATACCTCCCTACCCTCCATACCCTCCACCCACACACACTGTGCACACCTCCTCACCCACTTGTAAGCCGCACATCCCCAAGGCACAGGGAGAGGCACATTCCAAAACAGTGGCCCTGACTCAGCCACTTTGATGTTTAAATGATATATTCTATATATCATTCTATAATGACCAAATTTGCCTTGTTCATTGGTAGATTCCTTGTGATATTTGGGGCTTGGTTTTTATGGAAAGAAGCAATTTTCTGACTGGCAGAAATTAGACTCAGTACTGAAGCATTTTAGAATGACATGTGCCATAAACAACTCAGTTGATAATTATTTTTGGACTATAAAGAATCTTCACTTTTGTTTGTTCTCCAGTTTCACAGAATTCATCTAGAAGACCTGTTTTTCCCTTCCTGCTAAGTATTAAGTTACCTACTAATATCTACCCTCCAAATTTCAAACATTATAATTTTAATTTTGAATGTATATTTTGTAATAGTCAAGTAACCTAGTTACCCTAACAATCAGAGGGTCTCCTAAAATGGACAATAGCTGAGTATCAGTGGCTCATGCCTGTCATCCTAGCTACTCAGGAGGCTGAGATCTGAGAATCATGGTTTGAAGCCAGCACAGGCAGGAAAGTCTGCGAGACTCTTATTTCCAATAAACTACTCAAAAGCCAGAAGTGGCTCTGTGGTTCAACACTAGCCTTGAGCACAGAGAGGCTCAGGGACAGAATCTAGGCCTTGAGTTCAAGCACCAGGACTGGCAAAAAAGGGTTGGAGGCATGATTTAGGCAGTGGAGCACCTGCCTAAACAATGTCTTAGTATTTTTTGTTCAGTAGGTTTCAGGTGTTTCTTTGTATCTAATAAAGTATCAGTATTTTAGAGCAAGGATGATTTCATGTTGTTCTTGTTCTCTTTTGATCATAAGTAAATGGCAGGAGGAAATGATACCAACTTTATCTTTGTCTTTAGTGTGGATAGTTTGTTAAGATGTCATTTCTTTGGACTTATTCAGGAAAAGAAGACATGCTTCTTAAGCAAAGTCAGATGTACATGACGGACCTACAGGTAATTCTGTTTTATTTTGTAAAATATTTGAAGAGTCGATGTGCCAGTGGCTCATGCCTGTAATCATAGCTACTCAGGAGGCTGAAATCTGAGGATTATAGTTTGAAGCCAGCCCGAGCAGGAAAGTTCATGAGTCTCTTTACTTAATTACCAAAAGGCCAGAAATAGAGCTGTGTCTCAAGTGGTACAATACTAGCCTCAATCACAAAAGCTAGGGACAAACCAAGGTCCTGAATTCAAGCCACAGGACCAGTACTCTCTCGAGTGCGCGCGTGTGCACACACACACGCACGCACACACACACACACACACACACACACACACACATACAGAACACATTTGTGCCTATGTAAAAAACATGCATACCTTGAGTAGGGTTTTCATTGTCACAGCTGCTTTTGCTTTCTTTTTTTTTTTTGGGTCCGGTCGTGGGGCCTGAACTCTGGGCCTGGGCGCTGTCCCTCAGCTCTTCAGCTCAAGGCTAGTGCTCTACCACTTGAGCCACAGCGCCACTTCTGGCTTTTTTCTTTTTGCTTATGTGGTGCTGAGGAATCGAACCCAGGGCCTCAGGCATGCAAGGCAAGCGCTCTACCACTGAGCCACCTTCCCAGCCCCTGCTTTTGCTTTCTTGAGTTTAATGAAGGCAGGTCTGACTACCTGTGGTGCCCTCTAGTGTGACAGTGGCCTAAGATGGAGATTAGGATTTCTATCTCCTCATCTTTGATATTAAGCCTCCTCTTTTTACCATGGCTAGTTATCACCTCACGTTTGCCGTATAAAGGAGAGGACATCATAGGATCTTTCCAAAGCAATCTGTTGATTTTGAAATGTATTTTCTTTTGCAATTAAATATATATTCTACGTTTAGGAAATTCACCTCAGAAACTCCAAAACCAAACTTCCAAGAGGTAGCGTGTTGGCTGCTTTTCTTTACTGCTTTTCTTTACTCCTCCTCACCTTTATTTTCCAGAAGATGCAGGCTTGCACTTCTAAAGCCTGTAGGACTGATACCTCCTTGGGCTTTAAAGGCTGTTTTTATCTGGCCTCCTCCACAGGCAGAATGAGCAAGCCTAGGGGAGGCTCAGGGCTAAATTCTGAGTGTCTACAAGGACAGAGTGGTCTTCAGGTGACCAGTATTTAAGAAGATTGGAGTAACGCTCAGTTGTAATGAGCATGGAAGATAGGGTGTAATTTGGTGAATTGCAGTTGTGTTAGTCTATAGTAACAGAGGAATTGAGAGACAATTCAGGAGCAGCAAGGCTAGGAAATGGCTCCGTGGTGTCCATTTGCTTTATGTCCATGCAGAGGAGGGCAACTTCTATCCAACTGACAGCTGTAATGTGAGCCCCGTCCTCTGGTAGCAACCACGTGCTGCCGTCAACGAATTACACTCGTAAGGTACCTCTGTCTGAGCAGGGGTCATCAAGCACTCACATGCCATCTTTCAAGATTCTGTGCTCCTTTCTGAACTATTTCATGCCAAAATTTTTGTCAGCACTGGTCAATAGAACAAAGTAGTAATCAAATTTTATGCTAAATTCTCAGTTGTCTCCCTGAGAGAACTCCATCTCATCTCTGAGTTGGCGGGCATTTCCCCGACTCCTCTCACAACTGCCTTTATTTGGGCATATTTCCTAAATTTACAGAGCACTGTGTCAGAGTTGACAGTGAGCCTACACAGAAACCGTATCATCTTATTAGAAGTCTAACAGTAGGTAATTCTGTGAAATTATTTGCATATTTGAAATCGCAGTACCTTTATTTATGGCTCTGATGGCTTCCTTTAGACTCTGGAGCTCCAGATAGGAGTAACAAAACGTAGAAGTAGTGAGTAGGTCTTGGTAGAGTTGAACCCAGTAGAACCCAGATGCTACAGCTCCTCTTCTTTGTTCTGCCAGAAGTAGGCTTAAGAGAATATGAAGTGAACAGAACCCTCAGGAGGTTGTGAGCGCAGTGAGGGGGATTCATGCCAGAACTGATTTTTTTTGTGCTGATCCTCCCTCCTTCCCTCCCTCCTTACAGGGTGGAAACTTCTATACATTTCTGTAACTTAAGTAATGACCGTTGGCACCTCCATTAATGCTGTCTTTCCTTTTCAGGGTACTCCCCCGGGCACGGCAGCCCAGGTACAGAGCAGGTCTGTGCTACGACCACTGGAGCTGGCTTCCCCCAATCAGACCTCCTACTCTGAAAGTGAGATTCTAAAGAGAGAGTTCGAAGCCATGCGGACCTTCTGTGATTCAGCAAAACAAGACCGACTCAAGCTCCAAAACGAACTGGCCCACAAGGTGGCCGAGTGCAAAGCCTTGGCCCTGGAGTGCGAGAGGGTCAAAGAGGACTCAGATGAGCAGATCAAGCAGCTAGAAGATGCCCTGAAGGACGTGCAGAAGAGGATGTATGAGTCAGAGGGGAAAGTGAAGCAAATGCAGACCCACTTTCTGGCCCTCAAGGAGCACCTGACCAGCGAAGCTGCCTCAGGACACCCCCGGGCCATGGAGGGACTGAAAGAGCAGTTGAAAGACATGAAGGTCAAGTACGAAGGCGCCTCCACGGAGGTGGGCAAGCTCCGGAACCAGATGAGACAGAGCGAGAGGCTGGTGGAAGAACTGAGGAGGGAGGAAGGCCGGCTGAGGGAGGAAACGGCATGGCTGCAGAAGGAGCGAAGCACGTGCAGGATGGAGCAGGAGGAGGCAGGGAGGAAGGCGACGGAGATGGAGGGCCAGCTGAAGCAGCTGCAGGCACAGCTGGCTCTTGCCGTTCCTCCGGAAACATTTGAAAACATGAAGAGCGTCTTATCGAGCGAGGTGAGTGAGAAAACCAAGAAACTAACGGAGGTAGAAAGAGAACGGGAGAAATCAGTCAGTGAAGTCAGACAGTTAAAGAGAGAGCTGGAGAGCATGAAGGCCCAGCTGGCCGAGCATGTCCGGCCCGAGGAGCACGAGCAGCTCAAGCGCCGGTGGGAGCAGAAGTCTGGGGAACTGGGGAAGAAGGTCACTGAGTTGACGCTGAAAAACCAGGCCCTCCAGAGGGAACTGGAGAGAGCGGGCGTGGACAGTCAGCTCCTCAGCCGGCAAGTTCACGACCTGACAGTGGAGATGAAGAATCACTACGTTCCTCTGAAAGTCAGCGAAGAAATGAAAAAGTCACACAATGTGAACATTGATGACTTGAATAAAAAGCTTTCAGATGCCACACAGAAGTACACAGAAAAGAAGTTGGAAACAGAGAAACTACAGATGGAAAATGACAGGTTAAGTAAGCACGTTAGCCGCCTGGAAACTGTGTTCATATCTCCCGAGAAACATGAAAAGGAGCTTGGGGCTCTGAAAGCCAACCTTGGTGAACTTAAAAATCAGCTCTCTGAACTTAATAAAAAATGTGGTGAAGACCAGGAAAAAATTCACACACTCCTGTCTGAAAACACTAGCTTGAAAAAGACCCTGAACCTCCAGTACGTGCCAGTCAAAACCCATGAAGAGGTTAAAAGCGCACTGAACAGCACGCTGGAGAAAACTAAGAGAGAATTATCGGACATGAAGAAAAGATTTGAGGACATAAATCAAGCATTTGTAAAAGTCAAAGATGAGAACGAAATCCTCAAAAGGAACCTGGAAAACACTCAGAATCAAATGAAAGCCGAGTACATCAGCCTGGATGAGCATGAGGCCAAGCTGGAGGCCACAGGTCAGAGGCTGAAGGAGGCGCAGGACGCCAAGGCTGCTGTCCTGGCTGACTATAAGCGAGGTCAGGAGGAGATCCTGACACTGCATGCAGAAATCAAGGCCCAGAAGAAGGAGCTGGACACGATACAAGAATGTATTAGGCTGAAGTACACGCCGATTATCAGCTTTGAAGAGTGTGAGCGGAAATTCAAAGCAACAGAGAAAGAACTGAAAGAGCAGTTAGCGGAACAGACACAGAAGTGCCGGGTCAGGGAAGAAGAGGCCAAGAAAAGCGAACAGGAGAACAACAGGCTCAAGAAGGAGATTGTCACTCTTCAGAAAGAGTTAAAGGACACGCATACCCTGATGGGGGATGCCCGGGAAACGGAAAGAGCATTAGGCAGGAAAACAGAAGAGCTAAACAAACAGGTGAAAGATCTGTCACAGAAATACACCGAAGTGAAGAATGAGAAAGAGAAGCTACTAGAGGAAAAGGCCAAACAGACTGCCGAGATCCTCGCCACACAAAGTGTAATGCAGAAGCAGCATGTCCCAGTGGAACAGGTGGAGGCGCTGAAAAAGTCTCTCAATAGCACCATTGAGAACTTAAGGGAGGAGATAAAGAGCAAGCAACGGTGTTGTGAGAAGGAGCAGCAGGCTGTGAGCAGGCTGCAGCAGCAGTTGGACAATCAAAGGAACTCTTCTGTGCCCCTGGCAGAACACTTGCAGGTTAAGGAGGCCTTTGAGAAGGAGGTTGGGATCATGAAAGCGAGCTTGAGAGAAAAGGAGGAGGAAAGCCAAAATAAAACAGCAGAAGTCTCCAAGCTCCAGACTGAGGTTCAGAGTACTAAACAGGCGCTAAGGAAATTAGAGAACAGAGAGGTGGTAGATTTGTCTAAATACAAGGCAACAAAAAATGATTTGGAGGCCCAGGTCTCCAGCCTGAATGAAAAACTGGCCAGTCTGAACCGGAAGTATGATGAAGTGTGTGAGGAGGTTTTGCATGCTCAAAAGAAGAAATTATTGGTGAGAGAAGAGAAGGAGTCGCTACGCTGCAGCCTTGAGCAGGAGATAGAGGACCAGAAAGAGCGGTGTGATAAGTCTCTAACTACCATCTCAGAGTTACAGAGGAGAATCCACGAATCTGCCCAGCAGATTGAAGCCAAAGATAATAAGGTAGGCGTAAATTTTGCATTACAACAGATTGGAAAGCCCAGAGCTGGACTGCCAGAGTAGGAGACAGTAATTCACAGGCAGGCTTACAAAAGCCTGACCAAGAGTCACCTTTCCGGTTTGACTACTGCTATGCAAAAAAATCCTGAATTTAAGTGCACAAAAAAGCAAAAGGAGTTTTCCTTCAGCTGGTCCAGATGGGAGACCTGAGACTCACTTGCCTGATAGATAGATAGGTCTATAGGTTTATGGTATCTGGAGAACTGGATGAAGGGGAGGAATAAAGCCCTGTGCGGGCTGTGTGAAATTGAGCCACTGGGGAGTGTCCAGTCTTGTCTGTGAGAGCTCCCCCCCCCCTCCACCCCCCACCCTCCTGAGGCCTTGGGCCTCCTCCGAATCTTTCTGCACAGTGATCCCTTCACCCTTTTCCTCCTTTCTGTGCCAATTCCTATGGGTTCTAAAGACCTTGGTTCTCCTTCCTGAGTTCTCCTACACTTAAGTGGTTCCTCTTCCGCTTTGTTTTCTTTGCCATTTATATAAAACATTTTCGTTGCCAAGTTCAGATTACCTGGTTGATCAGGGTTCATAACATTCTCGTGTCAGTTTACAGAATACTCAATTGTGTTTTTGAAACATAACCATAAAGTCTAGAGATGAAGATTGGCAGCAGCTTTTCCCCTTCATGAGTAATGATAAATGCCTCTATCCTCAGTGGACAGGCTTGACACTTAACCTCTGGCACATGTTCCTGCAAGATCTAGAATTTAAAACTTTTCAGCATGTATGGAAAGTAGAAATATGGTTGTATAGAACTATAATGGCCAGCTACTAATTTCTTCTGCATGCTCCCATTATACAACTCCAAAGGAACCAGGCTCATAAGTGGATTCCAGATGCACCTGATCTATGCTCCTTTACTTTCCCTTCTAACCATTTCTCACAGTTTCTAAACCTCCAAGTCCTTACCTGCTGCTCAAAAGTAAGAAGAGTCAATTCTGCTTAACTCTGAGACTGTACCTGTTATTTTTTCTTAACTCAGTAATACCTTTGTAGGAAATTTATTATGGGGACTTTAACTCAAGAAATTATACTAATTACACATTGTCTATAATCTTGGCAGTTTTTTGGTTTGTTAAAGGTAAAGCTTATGTCTCAAAGAATAATTTCTACATACAGATGCTCATTAGCAATGAATACTGCACATTTTTCCTATGTCTTTTTTCTCTCTTTCAAAAGATAACTGAGCTGCTCAATGATGTAGAGAGACTAAAGCAGGCGCTCAATGGCCTCTCTCAGCTCACATACACCAGCAGCAGCCCCAGCAAGAGGCAGAGCCAGCTGGTTGACACCCTGCAGCACCAAGTAAAGGCCTTGCAGCAGCAGCTAGCTGTGAGTGACGGGCACATGGGGTGGGCCTCACTCTGAGTGATGGGTGCACAGGGTGGGTCTTGCACTGTGAGTGACAGGTATGCACGCTGGGAGGGCTGGACCTCATGCTGCGAGTGAAGCTTAGATGGGAAACTGGGAACTTGGAGGTGTTCACACCTGGAGCAGTCCAGTGCTCATATACCTCATGTCCATATGTATTAAAAGAAGGCACCTGGATTTGGAAGCTAAAGCTGATCTGAGTCCTGCTACTTAACATGAGTGGCACAGAATACTTGTCTTCAAACATTGGCTTCCCATCCATGAGACAGAAGGACTGACTGATCACTTGTTTGTTCACATTCTTGTGGAATGAGTGAGTGTGCTCTGCAGTCAGATATAAGTTCCTGCTAACATTTTCCCTTTCTGTAGGAATCAGTTATGAGTTGGTTTTGTGTGGAAGGAAGTTATTGCTGTAATTTGGATCCGGAGACAGCCTCCCTCCACCTGTGTTAAAGACTTAGTCCTCTGCATTGTGCCTAGTCTCTGCCTGTGCTGTTGGGAGGTGGTGGAACCTTTTAAGAAGAAGCAGGGCTTGCAGGGAGGTCTTCTGGCCATTGGAAGGTGACCTGAAAGGAGTCACAGCTCCCTCTTCTTCCCCTTCCCTTTCGTCCTGGAAGGGGTGTCCTCCTGCTGTGATGTGCTCCCTTGCTGAGCCCTCAGAACCTGTGAGCCAAAATAAACCTTTCCTCTTCTGAAGTGGATTAGCTTAAATATTTTGTTTCAATAACAGAAAGCTGACTAATACAATTTTTTAAAGTATTCGTTTTTTTTTTTTACACTCTTGGTCTACAGATCAATGGTGGTAAAACATTGCAGTCGGCATGCCTAAAGGTTATGGTGGTCCTCCCCAACAGCTGGAAGTATTTGGTGTATTATATACATGGCATGTGGGGATAGGAGAAAATGCCATCCCTCTCCCCAAGAAGATCTGAAGTTAGAGTGGCCAAATGCAGATCCATGACATGTAAAATACAAGAGAGGTGTTCAGTACAAACCTGAGATTTAAGCAGTAAGTTTATAGTAAGCAGAACCTTGTTTGGCTTTGGCTTCTGCAGGCTGGAAAGACCCGGATGCTGCATGTGCAGAGGGCAGGAAGGAGATATCACTACGCAACTGGGAGTAGGAGCTGTGGCCTCATCCTCCTAGAGGAGGACTTCCCTCCCCCACTGTGATAATGCCATTAGTCTGGCATCAAGAGTTGACCTAATGGATCACTTCTTCCAGACCCCACTTCCCAGCACTGATATACTTAATTGAAGGGAAAAATATACAACCCTAGCAGTTTTCCAGGAAGGAAAGACTACTGGAGGGGTGGGAGCTAGTTTTAAAGGCCTGGACTTGTAAGACAGATGGTTTTGGAAGGTGAAAGGAAACCAGAGGATCTTCCAGGCAAACAGTGGAGAGAACAGGGCCATGGGATGGTAGATAGGGAGCGTGAAGAGTGCAAGAGATGTAGCCAGGCGTGCTAGCAGGCCTTCTTGGATCTGGAGCCAGTATTGTAGACATTGAGAACCAAGCTGATGATCTCCAATTTTCTTTTCACATAAAGAAGTGTCAGCCAGGGTTTTTTGAGCCGAAAGTATTGTGAGGAAAGGGCTGCCTTGGCTGTGGAAGCATGTTCAGGAGCACTGGCAGCCGTAGGAAGCAGGGAGAAACGTGGAGTAATCTAGAGTGTACATTGGTGGGAGTTTGTGCAAGTCTGTGCTGCAGAAGTAAAGGCAGTAATTTCATGTAGCTTGAGGTACATGGTATGGCTCTACCACATATGTCCCCACGCATTTGTTAGAAAAGTTTATTCCATTTCACATTAGGGAATTCTGCGTGGTTCACTCTAAGAAGGGCAGGATGCTTTAACAACAATGCTGCGTTCTGTAGCCTCAGGCTCAGCATCTTGGGATCAGAAAAGGTGAATGCTGACATACTGATCTGTCCGTCTGTCCACATTCCTAGGATGCTGACAGACAGCACCAAGAAGTAATCGCGATCTATCGGACACACCTTCTGAGTGCTGCCCAGGTAAAGAAACTCTTACTCTTTTGGAAAGGCTGTTTTAGAGAAAACAATGCTGTTTTATTTTTAAATAAATTTATATGAATATAATTGACGTCTAAAGTTGTTGTACCCCATATGCTTATTTAAAAATAATTGTGTTTCTTTTAATCGTGGCTTGCATATCTACCAGAAAAATTTACAAAGCTATATGGAAACACAACATCTTAAATTTAGTGTTGTCTCCATCTGCTTGTCACTCATTCTTTAGACAGTTTGGCAACACACAATGGTGGTGCCTGCTAACAGTGTAGTAGCTGGAGGCAGCACCCTGACAGTCACATGTGGCCATCAGCGAAGGGGGGAGACAGGAGGTGCAAGAGCTGTCATGTGCTTCCTGATTGCCTGGGAGGTTTTCTTTGCAATGCAGAGAATACCAGCAAGGGATGCAAATGAGGAGCAGGGAGTGCACTGAATTAGAATAATTAAAGAGGTACTGATAATATTATTTGTCGAGCCTTAAACTCAATGAAACATAAGGTTGTCAGTTCTCTTCTTGAGGGATATGCTGAGAAAACCATTTTTAAGAAGTCATGCTAAGAAAATGTTTACACCAAAAGAATTCAGTGTTAATGCTCTGTAGAAACCATCTGAACAGCCATCCCTAACGCTCTGAGAAAGAGCTCTTCAGGAAGATGTGCTAAAAGAGATACATGTTAGAATGACAAGTGAGAGATACTAGGAATTATTTGGATTTGAAATCTATTAGATCATTCTGTTCAGAAAGAAAAAAGAGAAGCAAGCAAGGTAGCTTGTCCTTGTAATCCTAGTTATTCAGGAGGCTGAGATCACAACGTGAGACTTATTGGGCAGAAAGTCTGAGAGGCTCCTTCATAGCCAGTAGCTTGGGTGCTATGGTCCATGCCTGTCATCCCAGCTGTGTGGGAATCTGAAATAGGGAGGATCATGGTTCCAGGCCAGCCTGGACAAAAAAAAAGTCTAGGAGATTCCATCTCAAAGAAAGAAGTGGGGTGTGGTGGCACAGCCTTTCACCCCACCTACAGCAGGAATCAGAAAATAGGGTTGTAGTGAGGCATACACTAGGCAAAAAGTAAAACCCTATTTCAGTCACTGCTAAAAAGGGCTGGAGACATGACAGCAGTAGAACACCTGCCTGTTAAGTCCAAGTCCCTGAGTTCAAACCCCAGTACTTCCCTATCCCCCCACCCCTAAAAGAGAGAGAGAGAGAGAAGGGAACAAAGAAGAACATTAAGAGGAAGCTTCAAAGTAAGAGACTTAGATAAACTAATAAAATGATTGTTTCTGACACCCAGTTTTTATACTGAAAGTCCTGCCCTTTCTGTAGGTGATGTAGGAGTGGCTATGTGCTAGTAGGAGCCCGGTGACAGGTGGGGACTGCGGCCTGTGAGTATAGAGAAGAGAAGCTGGGACTTAAAGGTTTATTGGCAGAAGGACAGGAGGGGAGGAAGCTCAGGAAATGGAAAGGACAGGCAACCTTGTATTGGCCAAGGCCAAGGGAGGGTGACTTTTACTCATGGAAAGACAGGACAGCCTCACAGACCTTCCTGCCTGGTATAGCGAGCTCTTCAGAAATTCAAAGCCTTCTTCTGAGCCCTAACGAAACATAACCCAAGCTGTTGGCATCTGAGCAGTCCTTCCTTTGTCTCTTTAGAGTTCACTCTCAATTCAGTTTGCTCTACTATGGCTAATGCTTGAAATTTAAACATCCTGCTATAATAACAGGTTTTGAAAGCAAAATTTCATGCCAACGGAAATGTTGTGTGAGAGAGAAGGAGGAGGAGGTAGGGAGAGAGAAAAGAGGGAGGGAGAAAGATGGAGAGAGGGAAGCAGAGAGAGAGAAGAGTGGGAGAGTAAAAGAGGAGAAAGAGCCAGCGAGAGAACGGGAGTGCACACGCACACAGGCTTTGCCCACGTTTCTGGTTATGGATGTCAGGAGCAAGTGGTGCCTTCGTGTGCACTGACTTCCCTGTGTTTGGGAGGGAATGCCTGTCACCGTGATCGATCAGAGGGCTTAGCCTGCAAGGGGCTTGGCCGGCATGACACACAAAACAGCTGGGCCCCAGGGTAAAGCCATTGTCTGTGGAATTCTTGTTTCAGTGAAGGTGACATGAGCTGTTTCTCTGCTGTCTTCTCCCCAGGGCCACATGGACGAGGACGTCCAGGCAGCTCTCCTACAGATCATACAGATGCGGCAGGGACTCGTGTGCTAGTGCCAGTGCTGACCACCCCTGGCATTCCTGCCCAGCTGCCCAGTGTGCCTTGTGCCCTCTGTGCCTCTCAGGGCCTTGCTCTGCTAGTACAATTACAATAAAACATGTTGTGTTCTGTCTGTAGGTTTTTGTTTTTAATTAGAGGCGTATGTTACTGAGTTCTTCTGTGTAAATTCTATGTGTGTTCATTGTACAGTTAAGCAAACAACCTTACACTTTGCCCTGTGTTAACTACATGTTTTTAAATATTTGAATTCCTAATAAAACATGAGCCATCTGAGTGGATCTATACAAAGAGAAATTAGGTGGAAATAACCTGCAGGGTGATTAATTGGTTGCTGGCTGCTTTAAAAGAATTAAAAGACTTCAGGTCCTCAGTCAGTTCTCTGCCCTAGCATGGTTTGAAGACCAGGTTGTGACTTGGCTGGCCAAAGTCCTGTCTTTATTGAGGCAGTATAATTGCATCTTTCACTTCTATTGGAAGCATAGATTTTATTTCTTCTTATGCTAATAACTTTTATGTCTTTTAAAAAAAAAGTATTGGGGGCTGGGAAGGTGGCTCAGTTGTAGAGCGCTTGCCTTGCATGCCTGAGGCCCTGGGTTCGATTCCTCAGCACCACATAAGCAAAAAGAAAAAAACCGGAAGTGGCGTTGTGGCTCAAGTGGTAGAGCACTAGCCTTGAGCTGAAGAGCTGAGGAACAGGACAGTGCCTAGGCCCAGAGTTTAGGCCCCACGACCCGCCCCCCCCCCTAAAAAAATTGTTTTTATAAAAGTGATGTACAGATATACTTCTTTTTGGCCAATATCACCCCTTCCCTCACTTCTTTAGGTCTTTTAAAATAAATTTATTTTCATATAAATGTAATTTACAGTGCTAAGTTTCATTTCCATTAAGAACAGGGAGGGAGGGGCTGGGAAGGTGGCTCAGTGGTAGAGTGCTTGCCTTGCATGCATGAGGCCCTGGGTTTGATTCCTCAGCAGCACATAAGCAGAAAAGGCTGGAAGTGGTGCTGTGGCTCAAGTGGTAGAGCACGCATTGAGCTGAAGAGCTGAGAGACAGCACCCAGGCCCAGAGTTTAGGCCCCACAACTGACAAAAAAAAAAGAACAGGCAGGGGCAGACTACTTTAGAAATTTATGAAAGATTGTCTCACCATCTCTATAATAGTGTCTTAATTTTCTACTGTGGTAATAAACTGTATGCTACGTTTTTGAAGATGTCAAAAACTACACTTATTTTTTTGCTGTGACTTTGACATTTTCTACTCTGGTTATCAGGTACTCATGCATGTGTGCTCCACACCACATCACATTTCATATGAAATGCAAGTTTCCCACAAAATTTGCATCAGAGGATTAATTTAGGAAACAGACCTTTAAGCATTTTAGAGCCAAAAATGCAATAATCTGGTGAACTGCAAGAACTAGATGGCAAAATAGTCAACTCAGACACAGTTATAGTAAATAAACAACTATGTTTACTAACTATATCTCACGAAGGAAAGTTTACAAGTCTTACTACTTTGTTGTTTTAAAATTTTCCCATTCAGACTGAAAATTACTAATTTGACAGTAAGCAAGTCACCGAGCAAGTAGGACATTTCAGCTGAATTGTCAAGTTCTTAAACATCTTTGAGTGTCCTGAACTAAGTTTTAAGAATCCCATCTTTGTACAAGAGGGGAAAGGGCCATCAAATAGCTGCTCAGACCAAAGAATAAGCTGCAATATTTCTTCAATGTAGAAACAACAGTGATGTCAAGTTGGATTGATTTTTGCGTCCTCTGGATCTATTGGGTACAGCTTCTGTAAGTGAGGTCTGTTTCTTTATTGTACTTACTGTTGTCTGTCATTACAAGTTCTGCTTCCTGGTCTCTGGGTCACCCATTGAAACCCCATAGTGGAGTTCCCCAGCTGATCTTAGGTTCTCTGGTATGTTTTCCTTAAAGATGGGAAGGGATTCATATGCATATTTTGTCTTCAACCATCAATAAAATGTTTTCTGCTGACTTGTTTTGAGCATCCTTGTAGATGATTTGGCCATGAAGCTGTCTTCATGTGTAAGACAGAGGCTACATTCACGACACCGACCATGAAAGCTTTTCAGTTGGTAAATACACAGAATGTAGATAATCGATGATAGTGGCCTCTGGCTTGAGATCTGAGGAAGAACAGTTGTTGCATAAGATGTTGGCAGCAAGCTATACTTGATCTTCTGATGATGCCTGCCTCTTCAGGAAAGCTCATTCCCTTAGTTCATGTCAATGTTCTGAGGAAATACCTATTAAAATCAACTATGCATATATTGAGCGCTTTAAGTATTAATATTATATAATGTCTGTAGTCACTATCTGTCCCTCTATTTTAAAATTCCAGATGAATTTAGTGTAATCTTTTTTACTGCCTAGGTCTTAAATGTCTCCCAGAAGCCCAGGGGTCACCAGCCAGTGGCCCTATTGGGAAGCAGTGAGTCTTTAGGAGGTGGAGCCTGATTAGGTCAGCTGGGTTGTGCCTTTGTGCCCTTTCAGGGAACATTTACACCATGGCCCCTTCCTCCTTGCTTCCTGGCTGCCATGAGATGAACAATTTCCTTGCTTCCATAGGCTGCCTTTCACAGGCCCAAAGGCAGACGGAAAGCTCTGAAACTAAGAGCCAAACAAACGCACCTTTCCTCCTAAATTGGTTGTTTCAAGTATTCTGTCCTAGTGGCAAAAAGCTGATTAGCATTCTTTTTTTTTTTTGGGTCCGGTCGTGGGGCCTGAACTCTGGGCCTGGGCACTGTCCCTCAGCTCTTCAGCTCAAGGCTAGTGCTCTACCACGAGCCACAGCGCCACTTCCGGCTTTTTTCTTTTTGCTTATGTGGTGCTGAGGAATCGAACCCAGGGCCTTGAGCATGCAAGGCAAGCGCTCTACCACTGAGCCACCTTCCCAGCCCCCTGGTTAGCATTCTTATGACTTTTCATTTACACCTTTTCTCTTGACCCTAATCAAGTTTTAGATGGTTAAGTGTTTCTTGCCATTCTAAGTGCATTGGCCCATTCTGCTTTAGTGTCTTGCTGCTTTAGCACATGGGCAGTTCTCTGAGGTGACGGTGCTTGTCTTTGCCCCGGCTCATCCATGCTTCTGGCTGCCTAAGGGGCTCCTGTGCTTATGCTCACTTTCTTCAAAGCAGGAAAGGGAGGAGCTTCTGGGTTTAGAGGCTCACAGTGATTAGATCTGTCAGGGTTAGGGTTTAGATCCCAGCTGTTTTGAGCTTCTTAAGCTGTCAGCATGATGGAAGAACAGGACTTCTTGCCTGCCTTCCCTCGTCGCTGGATTCTGCAGCCCGCAGTGGTCTTTCTTCCTTTTACACATTCTACACACCAAAGTAATGGCGGCACATCTTCAGCAAATACGGACTGGAAAGAATTGTCTGTGCTGTCAACATGTACCACATCCACACATTCTGGTAGAGAGAAAAGTAAATGTTACATTTTAGTGCTGTCCCCCACATGGGAGTGATTTTCAGGGGAGTAATTCTCGAAAAGCCACTGATATGTATAGGCAGCGTTTGTACCTAACATAGATTGTGTACAAGATACTAGATAGGAGAATAAATAAAAAGGCATTCCGTCTGCCCTTTGAAGAATCGGTGATGGCCCCAGTGTAGTATGAAACATGGTGCCTGGAAATTCAGTTCCTTCTCCTGTTTTGGCCTTGACCATTTGTAGCAGAGCTGTTGAGACCAGTCCTACGGGAAATCTCATCCTGCTTCTAGCAGTGCTTTCCGATTGTTACTACACATGTTGACCTTTGGCTCAAGTACATCATGAATGTGTAGGATTGGAGGCAGGGGAAGAGAAAGCTGCAGCAGAGATGGCATTCCAGCAAGATGAGAGAGCCCCCGGGTAGTGGAGTGCTTGCGGTTAGCACAACTGGGCATGTGAGATCCCTTCTGCATCAGAGGACATTTTTATCATTTATGCCTGTATGAACAAACACGGATGATGAATGAATTCAACCAAGAGGGGAAGGAAACAGGAATGTCATATGTAAATGAAGGACTTGTGCAGACTGCTTCCCCAGAGAAACACACACACACACATATCTGCCACCTATGTATATAAGTGTTAATGTGTGTGTGTGTGTATATATATATATATATATATATATATATATATATATATATATATAATTCACTGAAATAACAGGAGACATCAATAAAAAACCAAGACTCTTTGTCATTGCTATTTGCCATCGAATTGTACTTATTAGGCCAGATTTTTATTTTATATTTTGTGCAGGTTTGCAATGTGTGTGTATGTATGTGTGTATGATAGTAATCCTGAGAATATTGTGAATTCCAGAAAGAGTTTAGAGAGGTTATTGCCTTCTTAATAATTTAGAGCCTCTATTGCCCTGCCAAGTCAGAAGATTAACATTTAATAGAAAAAAAATTATATATCTATAATTCAGTCACAGCTATTAGATCAGATGGATTTTACATTAAGTGGAAAAGATGTTGAGCATTTAAGGACCATTAAACTACAGGACTCTTTTATTAGGTTTTAAGGCTTCTGAGCCAGGGCCCTGCTGCGAAGAGTATTTATTTTACATATACAGAATGCATTAGGGATGGGGAAAGGGCACACATTTTAAAAGAAAATAGGCCATGAAAAAGTGTGATTTTCCACATTGTGATCAGCTGCCATACAGACTCGGTCTTATTTTATAATAATTAGTTTTATGCATCATTAAGTAGCTTTCTTAGAGGCTGGGAGAAGGTGGAGGCCACTTTAAAGCTGTACCTGCAAGGAATCTGAGTTGCCGTGGTTCTATGGGGATTGTGCTCAGAGCCACCAACCTTTTGGATCATTTCTAGGATCCTTACATTCCTCCACAGTGTCCTTGTGGTGCTTAAGGACCCTTCACAAATACCTTGAGAAGAGAAAGTCTTATAAATAGTTGCTTCATCTACTTGGCCTCCACTAACCAGGGATTGAAATTTTACACTTGGGGAGGAAGTCTGCCTATCCTTATTGCAGTGACACATTGTACATTGTTGTAACTCAACAATGACAAGCCATATCTTATATATATATATATATATATATATATATATATATATATATATACATATAT